ACCCATGCTGGTCCAACTGTTCTTCACTATATGCATAAATGTGCAGTGGACACCCTGTGGCCATGCATTCCACAGTCTCATCTCACTCTTCTTTACTAAAAAAAGAAGTAAATTGCTGCAGAAATGTCTTGATTTTTTTCTAGTTACAGTCACAGAAATATTGAATAGAACCCTTATGAGAAAACAGAACTGCAAAATTATCTTTAACATAATCTGATCTTTAGAAAGATCATGAAAAACCAAATAGGGGATTTTCAGCATTATTGTTTAACTGTTACAATTCATGCATATGAACACTTACCGTGTGCAATTACAATAAAAAACTTATCTCCGACCCACAATATGACATATGAACTCAAGCAAGTAAGGATTACATCATTGGCTCTCAGTTCTTACTTAGCTTATAAATACTGGAATAAAGTTCACCTTTTATGACGTTTGTGATCCAAGTAGTAAAGTCTTTCTTTGAACACTCAAGAAGTTCCTTTAAGAAGTCAAGCACACCCTCAGGGATGTTACTCAGAGTATCTTTAACCTTTGCAATATCATCGGTCATATAACCAAGAGTCTTATCCTTGAAGTCTTCGTCTTCCTGTTAAAATGCAGAATAAGGAACTGTGTTTCTTAGCCCAGAAATGAAACAAACATTTGTTTTAATTAACTAACTTACTGTTTATGTTGCACTAGGAGCTATACAAATACAGAGAAAAAGACTCTCCTTGCCCCCCAAACATTATTAATGAAGAGTTAAGGTCACTCAGTTCTGCTTTGCACCCTTGCCAAACTGCAATGTGAACCTCTGAAAACCAGGAAATCCAAAATTAAAGTCCATGTCACTCCCACTACACTGTTTTGATTCTGCTCCCTCAAGCTGGCAATAGTTAATAATATAATCCTGTGGGGGTCTAAAACGGTCTGTCAGACATGATTGGATTTACTGTTGTGGATATTTAGGACTGGTCTACACACAAACAGGCATTGGTTTTACTCAGTGGTTCCCAACATCTGGTCTGGAGACCCCTGGTGGCCCGTGACAGTACTGCAGGGGGTCCACGTAAAGTTTAAAAAGATCAAGCCAACACAGTGGACCCGATCCTTACTTTTATTTTTATTTTATTTTCCTTGATCCTTGAAATTTTAATAGATTGAATATGCTCGAAAGGTTGGGAGCCACTTGTTTAACTAAATCAGGTTCTTAGAGCTGATTTTATTATAGGGGTGGAAGTCTATGTGTGGACAGACTTATTTTGAAATAAAAATGGTGAAAGCTGAGTTAGCTAAAGTGATTTTTGACTTGTTTCACTCATGTCCAAGAACAGGACTCTGTGCCAAATTAACTGAATTGGTTCCAACTCATACTCCTTCTTATTAATATGACTAAAATCATTGCAAATATGCCTTCGGTATTGAACACCAAAGAGCGTTCCCAGCTGTGAATCCCCAGTAGACATAGGTGACTCCATGCTGCTCTCATTAACGCATCTATCTGAGAGAGGGACAGGGACAGACACACCCCTGTGGTAGACATCTTTCATTGGCTACTCAAGGTAGCTCCTCATTTATAGGAGCCTTTCTCTCGCCACTCGTTATATAAGGAGACTAAGCATTTAACCCAGGCTATGGGGATTGTGCTGTTGTTTCTGTGATTTTCTAGGCACCTAAAATTTAAGTAGTTTTGTGAATCTAGGACTAAAAGTCTGTGCAACATCTAGCCTTGATCTCTGTCACTGTCCAGCCTGTGCCCGGCTTGACAGGGGTCTGATCTCAGGTAAGGGCATCTAGTAGCTACATGCTATAAAAATAATTGAAAAATAAATCTTGCTTATGCCATTTTTAGATCCCGGGAAGAACTCCACTGTTTTCCAGGCTTTTGCCTGATTAACTGAGATCAAAATGAGTTGATGTGTCAAAGGAGCCTGCATTTGTCTAACCCATGACTCTAATGGTATTTATGAGAGTCGTACGTACATATTTGGTGAGGTCATCAAGGAGCTGAAAATCTCCACCAAACCCCAGGTTCTGCCGTAGCTCGTCTATCATTTTGGCTGTCTTCACCACCGTGGAGAGTTTCAAGTAGTTATTAATCTTAACCACCGCAGCCTGGACCCACTCAGACCTGCTGCCAGGTTCTCCCTCGCTCCGCCCCATGATTTTAAATTCCTCTCTGAGTATCTCTTCATCCATTAGCAGATTTCCAAAATGTCTCTCAATGTCACCAAGGCGGATGGAAAAATCTTTAAGGGCCAGATAAGTGTCTCGAAAATTGGCCAGGGCTGGGATGTAAATGTTCTCCTGTATGTCATCCAGAGAAAGAAGAGTTTTATCTGGGAAACTGGCCTTGGCAAGTTCCGCTTTCAGCTTCCACAGTTTCCGGAAGAATTGGCTTTCCTGTAGGGTATGAACTTTTCTAACCATGCTGTCGTATTTAGCGAGCGGGTGCGACTGCAGACTCTCACTTCTCTCCTTTCCACAACAGGAATATTTCTCCACCAGCATCTGATCCTTCATGCTCTGTCTCATGGCAACACCTTGTTTCATGGCACCTATGTCAACTAAATAGTGTGGGGGACAAAGATTAATTAACATGTAATTAACAGATTCCAGAAAGAATAACTAAGATTATCTGGTCTGACCATCAGGATAACACAGGCCACAGAACCTCCCAAAATAATCCTGTGGGAACTAGAGCAGGTCTTGTAGAAAAATGTTTGCCCTTTAAATGACCATGGCAACTAGATTTTATATGGTCTCTGAGGGGAAGCCATGTCAGTCTGTAACTTTAAAAACAACAAATAGTCCTGTGGCACCTTAGAGACTAACAAAAATATAGAGAATCGTGAGGCTTCGTGGCTAAAAACCACTTCAGACAGATTGGAGAGCATTGGTTTTACCCACGAAAACTCATGATTCTCTATATTTGTGATAGTTTCTAAGGTGCCATAGGACTACTACTTTTTAGATTTTATATGAACATTCATAATTCACAGAGCCTTTCAAAAATAATAATGTGGTTATCTAGGATAGCAGCTAAGTGTTTGTGTAGCAGAATCACAGGGGTAGGATACTAAATATTAGGAATGTAATTAAAGACAGAGCTAGACTGAAAGAATGCTGAAGTTGCAAAATCAGATATTCAAATATTAGGAAATTCGTAGGGTCACAAAGACAATCTTCTAAATGTGACCCATGTGTAACAACTGCCCCAACATCTGCCTGAGTCTGCAGAGAGCCTGTGACAATCATCCTGAATGGAGGAACTGCCCCAAGTGTAACCCCTTCACAGAGGAAAATTTTCAGTCTAGCTGTAAAGTAGATTCATGGAGTGAACCAAGAATTATTCGGATCTTCGTATCCAGCCTCCAGCACAACCCAAGCCACAGAATTTTCCTTAGTGACTCCTGCCTCTGGCCTACTAACGCCTGTCTGATCTAGAGTGGAGCTTTGGGGAAGAGATGCCCCATCTCTACTGACAGGCTCGCAGTGATGGAGAATCCACCCCACCCGCAGGGGAGTTGTTCCAATGGTGATTTCCCCTCCCTGGTAAATAGTGGCCCTTTATTCCCAGTCTGAATTTGTCTCCCTTCAGTTCCCAGCCAGTGGCTCTGGCTTTGATTTTGTCTGGAGGGAGGTTAAAGAACCTTCCACTCCCAGCAATTCCTTCCTTGTGTTGGTCCTTATAGACCAGGATCACATCACGGCTTCACCTTCTCTTGGATACACCAAGTAGGCTGAGCTCTCTTGTAACTCTTCTGAAACCTTTCAGGTGGGCAACGTCCCTTTGGAAGTACTGACTTCAGAACTGGACACAGAATATCCAGTAATGGCCTCCCCAGTGCCCTATACCGAGGTAATATCATCTCCCTGTTCCTACTCCATGTCCCCTGCTCACAATCCAGGACTATATTTGCCCTCTTAGCCACAGAATGGTACTGGGAGCTCAAGTTTAGCTGAGTTCCATCCAGGGATATCTGTAGGATTTATGAGGCCTAACTATGAAACTGGAGCCCCTATGCCGGATCGCAGATGGCGGGGGAATAACTTTTTAGAGTTGTGATTTTATAATCTTCAGTTACACACAAATGAAATATTTTAAAGCAGATTTTAAACTAAGGTCCTATCAACTAACACAGTCAATTAAGAAACTGGCAGGATGTACCTGGAGCTGGAAAATGCCTGTGAAATGGCGTAATTGCCTCCAGAATGGCTTTCACAGGTTTGATGTGCTGCTAATCACTCTGGGCTTAGTCACTTTTATGTTAACTAGATCCTCTCCCAGAGGAAGCAGAGCTGCAGAGGAGGGATAGGAGTAGGTGTTTAGGTAGACACTTTAGACCCAGTGATGCCCTAAATTTTTGGGTGCCCTACATTACTGTGCATTTTGCGTGTGGGTACGGATGGCTCTGTTTCCATCAGGACACCAACCCCTCTCTAGTGCCACTGCTTTGCAGGATACAGTCCTCCCATCCAGTAAGCATGTTAAGAAATTCCATTGTGTACTGCAAGAGAACAGAACAAGACGGTACCGTTTATGATGTCCATGATGCAGGCGCACAGATGCAGAAATGCTCGTCTTTGTTCTGTCCGTTTTTTCAGCTGCTCATACTCCTTTCTTCTGACATCCAGTACTTCCGTTATATATGGAGAGAAAGACGGCTCTGAAAAAGAAACACTAAGGATTTTTAAGACAATCGTTGCCTTATGGGGAAGTTGCCCTGAATTTCATTGATACAGCAGCAAATATCTGCCTTTGCAAAGAGCCTCAGATAAGAGTACTGAGAAGTGAGGGTGGGGCTTATTTTGTGGGAAGAGCTTGTCAGAGATCTTTTGTCCCTCAGCTTTTTACTAACCAGACAAAAGTTTTGCAAGCAGCATGAGGCAGCGGAGCTCCTGATATAATCAGCATTAACAGCTACAACGGAATATTGTAAATGTTTTGCATGCAACTGAGTTTGTAAAATAAATGGTAAGGATGCTGCTAATACCCAACTGCTACCAGATGTACATTAAGAAGGGAGTATTTTAATTTAAAATTCAGTCCATCACATTTAACACAATTGTTTTCAATTACCCCACCCATGATATTTTAACACTCCACTTCTGAATAATTTATTCATTATTAACTAGAAGATTTGCTCAGGTCCTTAATTCAACTGAGATTTAAAAAAAAATAAAAGGAAAAAAGTACATGCTTTATTTAAATTATTGTATTTTTCAAAAATACAGTGTTATTTTGATTAAGTTAATTTTTATTTCAGATTTCTTTTTAAAAGGGGTTATTAAAACTTTTCTATTTAATTTTTTAGTCATTTTTTAAATGGAAATTACATCAAGTGTATTTTTTCTTAATCCTTATAAACTGTTATCATTCACTATGTTTTAACAAATAAGAATCATATTCAGTGTAATCTCCAATAACCTTGTCTCCAAGTTTTCAAACCTTAAGCATTGATTTTGCTGTGCCAAAACAGAGCGCTACTCCAAATTTCACCATTTTATCTCTTCACTGTAAGATTTATTGAAAAGCAATCCTATTTCATGTCCATCCTATTTTTCTGGCTCATCTTGCTTCAGTCTCTTTCACCATTTACTCAATTATGTCAATTTTGAGGACTGTACTTGTTTTGGTGATTCTGTCTCCTTTCTCTTTGGTTTTATGAGAAGTATTTTCCTGGCACAACCAAATCCTTACTTAGCTTTAAGTTAGGAGAAGAGAAAGCTGTATACTGAATTTGGTGATCCTAGCTCTTAGGGTGAGTCTACACAGCCAGTTTTAACTTGAAATAAGCTATGCAAATTGAGCTACGTGAATTGCATAGCTTATTTCAAAATAGCTTATTTCAAAATTGGGAGCATTTGCACAGCACTTATTTTGAAATAGAGCACTCTCCCTGTGACTTCCCTTACTCCTCATACAATGAGAATTACAGGAGTCGGAGTAAGAAATCCTCCAGTATGACAATATTTCAACATTATTTCGAAATAACTGCCTGCTGTGTAGACATAATTATTTTAAAATAATGCTAGTTATTTCGAAATAATGTTGCTGTGTAGACATACCCTTACTGTTCAGGAGGAGATCTTGAGCAAAACAGACAAACAAACTCTCTAAAATACATAATTGATCATTATAATTGATAATTGGTTTTATGGTCTATAGAAATTGTAGTAAAGTATTATTTTGCATTTTATATTCATTTTTCTTTTCTGATGATGTCTCATAAAAATAATATGCTTAAGGTAATTTTGGGGGGATAAAAGTATGAATCTGCAAACTCACCAGTGAGTTTTATCATCTCAGAAAATGCACATGTGTGATCAAGAATGTCAGGTAGCATGTTGAATGGGATATCTCCAGAAAATAAACTGTGACCCACAAAGGAGAACAACTCGTACACTTTGGAAAGCAGCAGATGTGCATCTTTACTGATTAGACTTTGAACCTTGGGCTTCGATTGTTCTGCAAAATACAAAAAAATATAGTGAGATACTGGGAACAATTTCAGAATATGCACTAGGGTTTCCTTCTCTGTTTTAACAATGAACCACAGAATAAGTTAACTGTTTTTACTTCTTTAACTTCATTGGGATAATTCAGCTGCAATAAACTCGACGTATAATAGATGTACCAGTTTTCCATAAGTGGTAGGTGAAGAGAAGGCTAGGAGAGACAAGCCCCAAGCCCTGCCCCCAGCTCTGGCTCTTCTGTCCAGCCCCGTCCACAGGAGCCAAGCCCACCTCCCATCCCAGCACCATGGGGAGGTGAGGCAGCGCACAACCCCAGCCTCCTTGGTCCCAATACCACAGGGAGGAATGGTGGCATGTGACCCCAGCCCTGGCCCTGAAAGAGGATGAAAGTGGGCACTTTGAGGCAGCAACATTCCACCTCCAGTATGCCCACAGTAGGCGTTCTGGAGGTGGAAAATGGGTGAGGCTAGACTGGCAGTTTGAGAAGGCAATGCCCCCCCCTGCCTATTATACCTGCTTCCTCTAAATGAAAAATAGCAGAGGAATCGTTTTGAGAAGACCTGACATTGATTTTTTAAAAACTTTTGGTGACTCAAAAAGTTGAAAAAAAAATTATTTCATGGCAAAACCATGAACAAAAACAGTTATTTCAAACTCACAAACTGAAACATTTTTTAAAAAGATCAAAAGAAAACATTTCAAATTTTTTCCTTGTCCTACCCCACCAATCTCTCCTCCCAACACCAAACAATTTGGTGAAATTGACACAAATTCATAAAATGTTTAGCTGTTGCTGAATCTGAATGTTTTGCAGCCTAAAAAAGTTGTGTCTGAAAAATTTTACCCAGCTTTAGTCCCAAGTCTCCCAGGGCCAGATGTTCAAAAATATTTAAGGCACCTACATCTGGAGATAGGTCCTTATTGGGATTGGAACCCCATCAACTCCTTTTCAACCCTAGCCTAGTTATGATCCCAAAAAGCTGAAACCATTCTGAGGTCCCTAGCACAAAACATCCATATAGAAACTCACGGACAGCCGAGATAATATCATAGCCCATGGAGGAAGTGAGTAGCCATTTGAGAACATTGGCTGTGTTCATTTCAAACTGGTTAGTATTCTCTAGCTGCTTCAGTTCTTCTGTCCACATATTTTCAATGGTAATAGATAGAATTTGTGCACGAATTGGCTTGCTCGTCGTTGAAAATTTTGGAAGAATTTCTTTCAGTGATGACTTCTGTAAGAAAGAGTATTTTCTAACTACATGGGTAGAGACATTTTACAGAGGAACAGAAAGAGAGAGAGAGAGAGAGAGGGAGAAAAAGAGATAGCTTAAAAGTATCCCTCTTCTGCCAAGATTTGTCTGTAACATGTCATAACTAGAGCTTTGAGAATAATGGATTTTTGGGTTTAGGGGCCCTTTTGTTTATTAAGTTTCTTGTTGATTTTAAAACTCAGAAAATGCTATTTTGAATCAAACCAAATTTATCTGGGTGACTCCACATTTAATTTTTAAATGGCTTTGTGATTTAACTCAATCAAATCATTTTAGTTAACCTGAACAGGCACTGGTTTTGAGTTTTTCATTTTGATTTGGCTTTTGGCATGGGATGGTTTGTTTCTTTGTTGTGAATGTTTTTATTTAAATTGTCCAGATTTCAAAATGAGGTCCTGTTTTAAAATTAAAAGTCGCAATTTATTTGAAAAGTCAAAATGATTTTTTCAGTGTTTCCCTAAAACAATTTGTTGCAACCGAAAATTCTGAATTTCTGGAGCTCCAAAAAATAGACTTGGGGTAAACAAATAAAAACAACTCTTTGCCACCACAAATTGTTCAGCTCTACTTATACACCTATTACTAATTTAGTAACACTTTATAATCAATTACAGGCAGTCCCCGAGTTACGCGGATCCGACTTACGACGGATCCGCAGTTATGAACGGGGCCCTTCCTCTCCCTGGTCTCCAGCAGACCAGGGAGAGGAAGCAAAGCGGCGGAACACGCGGGCAGCGCTCTTTGCCACCACAAATTGTTCAGCTCTACTTATACACCTATTACTAATTTAGTAACACTTTATAATCAATTACAGGCAGTCCCCGAGTTACGCGGATCCGACTTACGACGGATCCGCAGTTATGAACGGGGCCCTTCCTCTCCCTGGTCTCCAGCAGACCAGGGAGAGGAAGCAAAGCGGCGGAACACGCGGGCAGCGGACAGGGCTGTACGCTGCCCACGTGCTCCGCAGCTTGGCTCTGCTT